GACTCTGACCTACCTTCCTTTGGCATCATTGTTATTGACAATCTTGGCACCCAGAATGTCGATCAATATTTCTGCTGCTCCATCGTGACCATTGATTCTACAGTTGAGTGACAACAAAAGGAAGAAGCAATGAGGCCGAAGAGTTTCACAGCTGTTTAGAATAACCTTTCTATTGACAAAATCTCTGGGGATAACTGGAAGATTTTGGACCTTCCGTGCATCGTAATGTTTTTAGTTTGTGATTTCTTGGATGTGCACGCTGTGGTTCATCTGCTTACTGGAAAAAAGGCAGCTTTGCGGAAACAGCCAAGCAAACCTTTCAAGGAGATATGGTTTCTTGCCTTTATTAGTAGGCAACCTGGTTTTGAATGGACTAGAGTGCCTTCATACTAATAGCTTTCAAGCAAACCTCTCGGGTGTTAGAATTCTGTTTTACAGACTCAGGATGACACCACAGGTGCTGGAAATATTATTCCTTAATTCCTGTTTCTGCGTCAAAGCTCCTGGGAGCCTGATGGATTGGTCTCTACCTGCTGAAACACAAAGGAGTGGACTGTGACCAATCCCCAAAAACGCGAACGCAAGTTGTTTAGAAATGCGAGCTGGAAATTTACCACGAACCAACAGGAGCTCAGCGTCATTAACAGGAAATCCAGCGGAGACGTGAAACTACCACATTTTACCCTTTCTTCTCAGGCCTTTGGCTCACAGGTGTTACTCTTACCCCTTTTTGATTTTCTTTTAAATAAAACGTATCATCGCTGCAGAAACCACCTTGTGTTGTGACAGCATGTCTACGCGTGGGATTAAGGTGATATAGGTTTTAATTCTGGGTTGTAGCTTAGGCTTTAGCCAGAGTTTTGCCACTTGTTTCAATACTGTTTCGTTGATAATAGATGGATTATTTTGAGTTGACGAAAGCAGCCTGTTGAACACTTCCGGATTGTAACAGTCAAGAATAGCCCTGGTCATTTTAGTCACGGTTTACTCTCATGGTATGGCTAGTTAGAACTGGGGTTGAATTAACAGTGCATTTCACTAAGCCACAACTCTCTCAATTGACTCAAACATTTATGCTTGTACAAGAAAGGGACATTGGAAGACAGTGGAGAGGGAGGCAAGGGCAAAACACTGGCAAAGGAGATTTCGTTAGCTCAACTGGCTGGCTTGTGATGTAGAGTGATGCCAACAGTGTGGGTTCAATCCCCACACTGGCTGAGGTTACCATAAAGGGCTTTCCTTCCTACTGGCCTCTCTCCTCGTCTGAGGTGTGGTGGCCATCAGGGCAAGCTCACCATCAGGCACCTCCATCCAATGAGAGACCAACTTGACAGGGTGGCTCAGTGGTTAGCACTGCTGCCTCGCAGTGCAAGGGAACCATGTTCAATTCTACCCTTGGGAGACTGTGTGGGGTTTGCACATTCTCCCCGAGTCTGCGTGGGTTTCCTCTATGTGCTCCGTTTTCTGCCCACAGTCCAGAGGTGTGCAGGTTAGGGTGGATTGGCCGTGGGAAATTGTCCCGTAGTGTCCAGGGATGTGCAGGTTAGGGTGGGTTGGCCGTGGGAAATTATCCCGTAGTGTCCAGGGATGTGCAGGTTAGGGTGGGTTGGCCGTGGGAAATTATCCCGTAGTGCCCAGGGACGTGCAGATTAGGGTGGATTGGCCGTGGGAAATTGTCCCGTAGTGTCCAGGGATGTGCAGGTTAGGGTGGATTGGCCGTGGGAAATGCAGGGTTACAGGGA